GTAGCAGCAGATAAGGGTGTTGGGAGGAGGTGCGAAAGCAAAAGGAGGTTGCTAAGAGGGGCTGCGGCAGTTCGATAGGTTGCTGGAAGGAGGTGCGATAGCAAGGAGGGGTTCTGGAGTGGGTAAGGGTGCGGTAGCAAGGAGGGGTTGCGGCGGTAGGGAAGACTGCTCGGAGGATGTGTGGCAGCAGATAAGGGTGCTGGGAGGAGGTGCGGCAGCAAAGGAGGTTGCTGAGAGGGGCTGCTGGAAGGAGGTCTGGCAGCAAGGAGGGGTTCTTGAGCAGGTGCAATAGCCGAGAGGATGTGGGGAAGAGGAATAAGATAAGGAATCGACGGGATAAACACCACCTTGGAGCAGTATACAATTGGAGTATTATCTGTCGGATATAGCCCTAACAAGGGAAATAACTTAATGGTAGGAATCATAAATCAGAAATCAACAAAGCTGAACCATAAAGAATAAGCAACGAATGTATATTATGATAGGTGAGAGAATATGTGGGAAAGGAAAAGACCGGTAGATACTGCCCATTAGAAGGCTGAACTAGCACTCACATGCTAGACTGACCAGTCCAACCCTCGGCCCCGCATCAGTCTCCCGTGGTTTTGGGAGCTTCGACTTCATTCATCGAAGTTTCTGGTTTCTTGTAGCATGGAGTCAAGTTTGCCATATTGAAAGTAACATAGATATTATAATCTCTTAGTAGGTCCATTATATAGGTGTTGTCATTCCACAACACATCTTGATAGAATAAATATGCACTCTCTCGCATATCTTGAGCTGGAGCTGCATATAGATGTAAGTTTCCGTAATGTAACTCTTGAGCCTTAAATCTGAAACCTTCTTCCACTTCTCCTACTCAGTGGAATGTAGCTGATAAAACAATATATGAGAAAAAAATCAACTCTCACTAGCAACCACTCGGGAGAAACCTCTTCTTCACTTATAGGACCTGGATCTCATTGAAAATTTTTCTTCTTCGTCAAGTTCCTGAGACAAATTTCAAGTATGGGATTCATTCCTCTTGTCTGGACATCTGATAATTGGTGTCTGCTGAACTGAGTCTAATATCTGAATAACTTCATGTAATCTTCATGACTAGGCACGAAAGGGTCCCCTTTTTGATGTGTTAGACCTCCCTCAATAGGGGCAACTCAGAAATGAGTCTATAGATATGAATGGTCTGAATTTCTCTTATTTGGGCTTGTCCTGTGTCTAATATCGACTCCTCAAACTCATGACATCTTTGGACATCCAGGTAAGTTCTGTTGATGTTCCTGTTAACGCTTGCAAAATGCTAGCTCGAGGCACCACAATCTTGTACTATGTCGGAACACCCATTACATCAGAGTCATTACCTTCTAGAACAATTATTGTTACCTCAGTTGGAATCTCTCTATTGAGATCAACTGGAATCGTTGACATTTGTTTCTCATTGGTTGAAAATTGAGAATCCTCTATGAAGTCTTCATTTTTTTCCGGAGCACCGTTCATTTCTTCAACTTTTCGCTGATCAGTGAAAACGATTCACTCTCTTGCCTGTGCAATCTGATTCACTATGCCCAAACCCGTAGCTCCTGAAACACTTCTTGGCTGGGATGAATTTCGAAATGCAGGCTTGGTTCCACATGTTCACTCTGAATCAACTTTTCCGCTGATGGGGTCAGCTTGGATGTTCTCCTAGGTTTAATCTTGCTGTAAGATCTTGAGGTTGAACTATGTCTATAAGACGTGGTAGTCGCCCGGTGATGCGGTC